AACACTGTCACCTCCCAGTTTCTGAGGGCCAGGAGATGGAGGAACAGTTTAGCCAGGTGGCCCTGTTCAGGGTCTTCACGGAGATCGCAGTCAAGCTGTCTGCAGGGTGGCAATTACGTGACACTGAGTCATATGTGTGTGGGCTTGTATCAGCTGCTGGAGTTCCCTTAAGATGGGGAAGTAGCTTTTCCCAGGGCAAGCAATGTGGGGGGAGGAGAGGGGAGGAGGGAGAAAATGACAAGGAAAGGAAGTTCCGCCTTTTACTGTCTAATATTGCAAGTAGTTTTTAGCTCTGCTGTATTTTTTCAACCTCACCCTGGTGTAACATGGATACAAGGACATAGATACACGAGGTGTTGGGGACTCTCTTGAAGGCTGGCTACTGCACACATGGGCAAATCAAAGCAAACATTGTTTCCATGAACTATAACCCTTATTTCACCGGGTTAAGAAATGACAAGTTTGTACAATAACATCTATCAGTATATTAGGATGGGGGTCATTTGTATTTTATCATTTTTGAAAAGGGTATGAAACCTAACAGCTAGTATAGCTTTTGACTTAAGGATGTTCGAGCCTGCTAAATAGTAAGTCTGTTCAAGCTGCTGTAACAGAATAGCATAGACTGGGAAGCTTATAAAGAGCAATGGTGTGTTTCTCACAGCTCTTGGCCTGGGAAGTCCAAGATCAGAGTGCAGGCAGATTTAGTGTCTGATGAGGGCTGGATTCTTGGTTCATAGACAGATAGCTGCCTCAGTGTCCTCAAGGGCTGAAAAGAGGAGGAAGCTTTCTGGGGTCTCTTACAAGGGCACTAACCCCATTCCCAGGGGCACCCCCTTCTGATCTAATCATCTCCCAAAGGCTCTGCTTCCTAAAGCATCACATTGAGGGTTAAATTTCAGCACATGAATTTTGGGGGATGTAAACTCTTAGCCTATAGCAAGTGCACATAGAATTCAATGACTAAGATTAGAAATGACTCGTGTACATTCTCAACCACTAGGGGGAGAAAGTAGCTAAGAAAAAAAGTTACTCTCACCCTGAAAAGTATTAAGTGAGGTGTGATGCTGTGGTAATCGTCACACGGTAAATATGAACGTCAAACCAGCACACTTCTTAAAAAATTTTTTTTTGTGTGTGTAGAAGAACTTGGTATATGCCCATGCCAGAGGTTCACAGGTGAGATAGGGTGGGGAGCAGAACAGGCAGATCTACTGAAACACACTGCTGAGGGGAGCAGCGGGTGAGACAGGAGAGGTCTGCTGTGCCTTGTGGGTCACCTCCAGGGCCAGGGATCGAACTCAGGCCATTGCAGTGATAACATTGAGACATAACGCCTAGGCTACCAGGAGGCCCCTACTTAAGATACTTGTTTATGTGTATTTAACTCGATAATGTGCTTTAGTATATGTATTTTTGTGTGTAAACAATTTAATCTAAAACTTAAAAGAAATACAAATATTAAATGAGAGAGCATTGAAAGCAATTTTCCTGCCTTTGATAATTGCTTCTTGAATTGACTTCTGGAGTCAGAGGAAGAAGCTGTCTGACCTCTGGTGGCTGAATGGTGAAGGGCAGTGGGGAGCTGCTTGGTAGGGCCTTAGAGCCGGGAAAGTGAGCGGGTGTGATCTTAGAGCCGCCTGGCTCTAAGATCTTAGACCCACTGGCTCAGGGGTCAGGCCGCCCACCGCTCCCCTCACCAGAAAAAGAGGAAACAGCCGTGGGGGTTCCTAGTTCCTAGTTCTGCTGTCTTTTCCTTTCTGGCTCTTTACCATTTTCCTTTCTGCCCAGGAATGCAGAGCGTAAGTGGGAGGCGCCGCTTGGAGCTGCCTCTGCTCCATCCACATGGCCCATCCTGGGGCCCTGGACCCCACAGGCCAGGGACGGGATGAGATTTTGAGCCAAAACCTCAGGCATCCTTTGGAGACATCCAGTGCTGACATGCAGAGAGCCAGTCCCTGGGCTTGTTTGTTTGTTCAACCGTCTGATCTGGAGAATTGTGGTCTAAAGATGGCGCTTACACTTCACGGGGGAGAGTGTGCGAAGCTGCTTGGGGGAGAGCTGTCAGTGTTCCAGGCTTCACGTAGAGTCTAGGAGACAGCAAGACATCGCCCCACCCCGCTGGTCAGACTGGGGGACACTGATTTACCCGGCCCATTTAATCTGATACAGAGAGCTTCCATCAGTGAGTGTTGGCTGTGGGAACCAGACTAGGAAGTCACAGACTAGTTCCTAGTTATTAATGAATTGGCGCTCAGTGTGGCCCGGAGCAGACACAGGTGGGGACATCTCTAAAGCTCAGGAGGCTTTCTGGCTTTGGGGCCAGAGGAGTTCCTAAGTTGGCGTAGGGGTTAGGCCCTGCTGCTCACTGGCTTGAGATCATTTAACCTCACCAAGCTTTAGCTTTTCCACCTGCAAAAATGGGTGCACGAACTCTCTTAATTCAGTCATATTTGTTGAATTCATGCGTGGAGCTGGCTGAATCAGGCTGCAGGTCTGTGAGTGCTAGTTGCTTTGGTAGTTTGAGCGCTCAGCCCATGGAGAGAACTGAGGGGAGGCCTGGAACTTCAGCTGCGCCCTGCTGAGACTGAGGGCAGAGTGTGGCGTCTCCATACAGACAATCACGCTTTCCCCTCTGTCCCTAGACGCCATGGAGGTGGTGCTGATGGTTCTGTGCAGCTTGCTGGCCCCAGTGGTCCTGGTCGGTGGTGAGTATCCCTCTAGAACCTGGCTGGGACCAGATGCATCTGGGACCCTTTCTGGTAGAAGGGTCTGCTCCTTCTTTTGGCATACTAGATATGGGGGCTCTCTTAGATTCTTCATGTCCTGGAAGGTGGCAGATGTACACAGGCCAGTCTGGGAGTAGTCTACACACCTCCCCCTTCCAGGCTCCAGCAAGGTCTACTTTTATTTATTTATCTAAAATATTATTTTTAATTAAATTATTTTTTGTTTTAGAGGCATAGGTCCACACTTCTCCAAATATATGTTATCACATGACTGAAGCACCCCTAATCCTCCACCACAGTCCACTGGGCCCCCTCCTTCCTCCTACCCTGCTCTGCTGGTAACCTCATTTCTGCAGTCAGATTTCAAGGGTTTGGTTGGGTTGATTGTGCTTGTTCATTTGCCTTCTATATTTTGTTATATTCCACATGAGTGAGATCATTTTCTGATTTATTCCAGTAGCACAGTCCTTTCCAGTTCCATATGTCATAAACATCAGGATCACAGGATCTTTTTTCACAGCCGAATAGTATTTCACATGCATCTACACCACGTCTTCTTTATCCACGCCTCCAATATTACACACTTTGCCTGTTTCACTAGGGTCTGCCTGTAAGGCCTCAATCCCTCCAGACCCCTGTAGACTTTTGGCCTGAACCTTGGAAACCAGACAAGTGCATCAGTCCCTGGACTCTGGCCTCTTGCAAGTCCTGTGCCCCAACTTGTTCTCAGTTGCCCCATCTGTAACAAGAGGATAATAGACCCTGCCTTGTGGGGTTGACACAGGAATAAGAGGCAAAAGTGCAGATGTTCTGTGAATGCAGAATCCCCCTGGGGCTCTGAGCTGTACCCGCCTTCGATCCTCAGGCTGACCCTAGCGGGCAGGCCCACCTTCTCTGCTTCTCCGGGTGTCTCTTTAATGAACCCGGCTACCCAGGAGCCCCTGTGTGGGGAGGGAAGCCTGTGAGGCAGGTAAGGTATTCGGGGGCCAGCGTGGTGCTCCCATCCTTCTGACCCTACTTGCTTTTTGCAGCAGCTGAGCAGGAGAAAGAAAAGGACCCATTTCATTATGGTGAGTGCTTGCGTGACTCTGGCTGGGGAGGCAGGCGGGTGCGCTGGCTCTGGCCCTTCCCTCTCTCACCCTTGTTTCTTCGACAGACTACCAGACCCTGAGAATCGGGGGATTGGTGTTTGCTGTGGTCCTCTTCTTGGTGGGGATCCTCCTTATCCTAAGTAAGCTTGTTTCTTTGTTTCACTGCAGTGCCATGGAGAATGTGTTTTCTGTCCCAGGGTAGTTGAAGACTATCTCCATCATCTCCAAGACTTAATACAGTGCTGTGTGTGTAGTTAGTGCTCAGTAATCTGACAGCTAATCACGAACAGAATAAGTGTGTGGTGTAAACACGGACCAAAAGGGCAGTGTGGCCACCTGGTGCTGCATCCCGTAGGGCGGGCATGGGAGTCCCTAGAGATGGAGACAGGCTGTCCTTAGGTGCTCCCTAGGTCTGGTCTGCATGGAGCCTCCACCATCAAGCCAGCTGTGGTGTAGACATCCAAGCTGCTGAGTTTGAACCTTGGTCTCAGGGGAGCCCTGTTCCAACCTGGTGTGGCTGTGAAGAGCTGTGGGTGCATGCATGCTCAGGGTGGGTGGAGGGGGCTTTTGTGGTCCCATAGTCTGCACAGACTCACAGGGCAGCCCTGCTGTGTCCAAGTTGGGTGCATGACCTTGAACTCAAGCCCAGAGCAAGACCTCAAACGATTTCTGTGCCTTTCAGGTCGAAGATGCAAGTGCAATTTCAATCAGAAGCCCCGGTAAGGATGCCATGGCTGGGGACATCTGGGGTGACACTAGGAGGGAACCAGGAGGGGAACCCCTCTGTGTGTGACCCCAAATGAGTGTTCTCTTGGGTTTTTGTATGTTGGGAGCAAGCTAGAAGCTTTGAAGGTGGCCAGGCAGACTTTGGGGCGAAGCGAGGGGTCTGAACATGGAGGGCTAGCTCATTCTTTTTTCTTCTGATGTGTCTGGGGGTGAGGAATGGGAAAAAAGGTGTGGAAGGGTCTTGTCTGGAGGTCCTGGAGACAGCCGGGCTGGGGAAAGGGAAGCAGGGTGGGGGACTCAGGGTCTTTCTGCAGATGCGTGAGCCATCCCTGCCTCTGCCCGCCCTGGGATTTTGAGCTGCATAGACGTTTGCGTTGCCTTTCCACCCACATAAAGGGCACACCCCGCTAGTCTACTGCAGTAACTCAGTTAGTTCTGAACCTCAGGAATCCAGTCTGGGGCAGGACCAAACCCAAGCTCCAGCCGGCCGAGGCCCTCTTAGATCTCCTAGGGGATCACGCTGACCGGTGCCAGGGAGACCTGGTCTCTGCAGAGCCGACTCTGCCTCCTGCCCCCAGGTGGCCCAGATGACAGTGGAGACTGATGAGGCAGCCTGCCGCAGCAGGGAGTGTGGCTAGGCTCTCTGGGTGGGCCTGAGGGCTCTGACCGGCTTGCCTCTCTTCTTGCAGGGCCCCCGGGGATGAGGAGGCCCAGGTGGAAAACCTCATCACTGCCAATGGTACCTGTCGTGACCGCCTGCCCAGGTGGAGGGATGGGAATGAGCAAGCGGCCCACCTGGCTCAGGGAGGGGTGCTTACTAGATGCTCTGCCCCTCACCCCGAGCTGCTGACATACTCCAGACTGCCAGGAGAGGGGTGTCCAGGGCCCCTGTGATGTGCTGCCCCCTCACCTCCACCATGCAGGCCTGACAACTGCTGTGTGCTGGTCACCACACCCTGGTCTGCATAGTGTGCACAGCTCCGCGGAGTGGGAGTGCTCGCTGTGTGTACCAGCGAGGGGCTCGGAAAAGTGGAGGTGCCTGCCAAGTTCCTAAGACCTGGAGGTCACTTGCATCCGAGCCTGTCTGGCTTGACCCCCTTTGCTATTTGGGGACAGGCGCTCTGAATCAGGCATAAGCTGCAGAGGGTGGTCCCCGAGTTGAAGGGTTCATGACTATAATCCTTTCTGGTTTCTTTCCAGCAACGGAGCCCCAGAAAGCAGAGAACTGAGGTGCAGCCCTCAGGTGGGAAGGTAGGAGGCTGCGGGTCTTCCTCTGTTCTCACTGGGGTCTGGCGGAGGTTGCTGCGGAGAATGTGCAGTAGCTTTTCTTACAAGCCGTGTGTACAAGTGGATGATGAGACAGACCCCAATACCCATCTGAGTGTACCTCGTAAGCATGCAGTAAGCAGCTGGAAATGGGGCTCCCATCAGAAAGGGCGAGTTAACAGGGTATCACCTTGACTGTGTGTGGGCTCAATTTAGGAGAAACAGTGAAATACTCCCAGGTTAGAAGCAGAAAGAAAGTGGTTTCCTCTGATGATACAGAAAGTACCGGGGGCCACTTTTCAAATAAATTAACCATTTGGTATGAAACTTTCTAGTCTTATGCAAAGGTGGGGAGGATATTAACAGTTCTCTTACCCCCATCACTGTTATCAGGTCCCGGTATCTGAGGGAACTGACTGTACTGTCTGTTTTTATTGTTCATTGTAAGGAGACAGGAAATCAGTGACTGTTCAGGACTTTACAGTCTTCAGAGGGCTTACCCCGTTCTGGGCACCCCCCATAAACTCACTCTAATCTGCCACACGCAGGCCAGGCCCTGTTTGGCCCCATTTTATAGGTGAGGAAACGGAGGCCAGTGACTGGTAGTAGGTTCAGGATGGAACTTGAACTTGGGGCTTGATAGTTCACTGCCATTTCACTGCACCTGTCTGCCCCGGTGTGACAAACTCTGGCTAGATTGGGGGGTGGGGGGGGTCAGTTTGCTGTCAGCTCATTTCTGCCCCTTTTCTCATACAAACAGGCATAAGACACAGGTAAAACTGTATCCTAAATTGTAAGTTAAGAGATTTCTGGCTGTGAAACCTTCACTGTGGTGGTCATCACACAGTCCACTTATGTAGCATTCTAGTTACTTCCTGGGGTCTTTCCTAGGTCTCAGGACTGTCAGCAACTGCTAGGGGTACTAGGGTACAGAGGGGACCTCCCTTAGCCCACCTGGGTCTTTTAAGGCTGAATGGATGGACAAATTAACATGAAAAGGTCAACACCGAATAACACATGGGGAATTGACATGGTTGTGGGTCCTAAGGAATAATGTGTTTTAGGACCTGGGGCATCACACAGAGAGGGGGGTTTACGGGACACAGAGGGGTCCCTCATCCAGGACATGTTCCCTGATAAACCTACAACTGGCTGAGACCCCTCCTCCAAACTAAATCCTCTAGGTCATAAAGTGGGTGCAGCTTCTCTGGTTACGAAAGGGGCAGAGGACATGTTAACTTCTGCTTCTGCTAGGTGAGGGCGGAGGCCTTAGGCAGGACTGAATCGTCTCCTGGTCTTCAGGATTTCATTGCTCTTTCCTAGCTCAATACTCTACAGGCCAATGTGGGGCATCTTGGGGAGACCAGTTCTGAGAATATTGGGGTGATCTGGTTTTCAGCAGAAACCCAGCCTGGGTCTAACCACTCCCCCCCCAAGACCATGCTCCCAGGAATCACTCTGTCCATTCCCTCGTGCCAGGCTCGGCCTCCTTGCTGACCAGGGCCCTGCCATGTGGTGTGGGTCTGCCCCTGTGGGCGGGGGCTGTGCTAGTGCTGGGACACAGAGCTGGGCACATGCGTGGAAGGAGCCCAAGTTGGGTTTTAATTTAATTTCTCTCCCTCCTCAGCCTCCGGAACCTGAAGGCAGCTGCTTGAAACTTTAGATGCAAATGCTGATGCTTAAGAAAACTGGCCACTTCAGCACAGGTCTTTCCCCGGGAGAAGCCAAGAACTTGTGTATCCCCCTCCTCCTCCCCAGCCCCCCAACACCAGTCCTCAACTCAGTGATGCAAGTACCACCCGCCCCCGCAGCCTGAGGTCTCGTCCCCCTCCTGTGACGTGTCTGTGTGGTGACTGTGGTCTTTGTGGCTGCTCGTCTGTGCATCATGTGTGTTAGTGAGCCTGGGCCCCCTTTTCTGGGCAGGAGCTGGGCCACCAGGCCAGCAGCTTCTCCCTGCTCCCCCACAGCCCTCCATCACCTCCTGCTTCTGGGACTCTGCTTTATCCCTGGGGAGCAATCCCTTCTCTTGATTTAGGGGCGAGGGTTAAGACAGGGGCTCCTGGGAGTCTCCAGGCATTCTGGGACTTGGGAAGGTTTACATCTCCTTCGTGATCCGTCTTCAGGGTCCCACTTTACCCCTTCAAAGAACCTCGCTTCCATAGTTCACCCCAACCCAAGCCAGCTCTGAGGGCCTGCTAGCAGTTGGAAATTCACGACAGGGTCCTGGTGAGCCCAGCTTTGCCCCCCGGGGGGCTGTGCCCCTAGAGGGCCATTTTTTTCTCCTGGGGCCATCCGCCATGGAGTCCCCAGCTGCCTGCCCTGTGGCAGAGTGGCCAGGGATTCCAGGCCCGGGCCATCCACTCTGCCCCGGGGAATGTGCCCCTGGCATATCTTCGCAGCAATAAGCCCATGGGCTCTGGAACCCCGTCCCGCACCCCACCTTCCCCGTCCCAGACTCCAGGCCCTGATGTGGGTCTCTGGCAGGTCTCTGTAGAGGGCTCCATCCTGTGAGGGCAGCGCCCTGGGGGCCAGCAGGAGGAGCAGGGGCTTCTCTGTGCCCACGTCCCCTGGTCAGGTGGCGTGATGACGCCAGCACCCTTTGCCCGGCCTGCCACTGTCAGAGGCAGGTGCGGTGACCGTGCTGCGAGTGACCAGCGAGAGGGTAACGGCCACGAAGAGGGAAACTCAGCCAGACCCTGCTCCCTGCTGCCCATTGTGTTCTTGTGGAAACTAGCCACACCGTGCCGCTGTGACCGGGACCGCGTTCTCTGTGCTGTGATCTGTGTCCTCCTAACGACAACAAAAAGGAATAAAACACCATTGTTTCCTAGTGGCTCTGCGGTGCTTTCCTGCTTGTAGAAGAACTTGAGTATTTGTAGAGCCAGAGGGACTCTGTCCTTGCTCAGAGGGAGGACGCTGGGGCAGGGCCGGCAGCTTGAACACCTTGCTCTTCCCCTGCTTCTCCCCCATTTCCCTCCTCACCTCCTTTTCCTACCCCCCACTCCCTTCCAGGCCAGGGGCCCAGGCTCCACCCCACCCAGGTCCTTCCTTGGGCTTGTCCTGCAGATAAGGGAGTCACAGTGGCCAGGAACGCAAGGGTCTAACCGTCCCTTTGATCGGAATTGACGGGTCTGCACTATCATCCAAGCCTCTATCTTTATCTTGCCCCCTCCTCAGTGAAGCCTTCCCAGGCTGCAGGTAGGACGAGTCCTCTTTGGTGCTCGATTCTCATGGTGCCTGCCTTAAGCGTCACACGTGATGCTGTAGCCCTTAGATCAAAATAGGCCTCTGCTGGGTGTATGACCAGCTGCGAGCCAGCTGTGGTGACACAAAAGAAGGGCCCAGGGGCTGGGGCCACCTGGACTGTCCTCCCAGAGCGGCTACCCGTTTCATGTTTAGAAGTTCTGTTGTCCAAACAAACACAGCTGCTAGCCAATTCCCTCTGAGTGGCCCCTGTGGGGCCGCACCTCTGTGCGTTTGGTGTTTCTCTATCATGGACCCTTTCAGAGGACAAGGATGCTGGCTTGTCCAGCCGAAGAATGCTGGGGCTATCCCAGGGTCTCAGGAAATCTTCAGTGTCTGCCAATTGTTTGGAGTTGTGGTATCGCCAGCCTGGGTCTTGAGGCGGGTCAGCTGGACATCTGTCCAGGAGGACATACGGGGTGCCTGCCCTGCCTCTGCCCCTCAGACCCCCAGGTCTTTGCGAAACCTGAGGCTGGTAGTGGAGCCCGAGCTCAATATTGCCAGCCCGGAGGTCGCGGTGGCTAAAACTCCCTGGCGCGCTTGTGCCTTGTGAAGGAGCTGATGGCCGCCCGTGGCTCACTCCTCCAGACCAGTTCACGGCCTGCTGCATTCGGAGCACGGTCAGATGACGCTCTCAGAGGATCCCAGCACACAAGAGATTGTGAGTCGCTCCCCACTTGCATCACTAAAAACAAACATGAAACTAGAGCATAAGTACAAGAGGTCCAAAAATTTCTGAGTTGACGCCTAACTAATTATGTCCATGCTAGAGAAGGGTGGTTCTCTTCTCCAGCATATGGATGACAGCTACCCTCTCTTTGTGAGTGAGGCTTTAAGCACCCCTCTTTTTTCTCCTGGTAATTGGGGCTACCTCCGAGGCAGGTAGGGTAAGCACACTTGATCAGCTTGTGGCTGCCCTGGGGCCACAGCACAGGGGCAGGGTGCGGTGTTGGGGAGGAACAGGGCTGAGCCCCACTGTCCCTGTCTGAGTCTCACTGCATTACACGTGGCCTGGCCTCTGTCTCCAGCAGCAGGCTGTCTCCCCAGGCGGAGGGGAGCGTCACCAGCCAGTGAGATCACATCTGGCTGTCCGTTGAGGACAGAAACCAACTGACTGCCCTGAGGAAGGACTTGTGTGGGAGGTGAGTGGTCTGGAAGGTTGACACAGAAAGAGGAGTCAGAGGAAGTGGTGATCAAATAACGACAGTAACAGTAATCAGAATAGCCACACTGGTCATAGTAATAATCAGAAGCAGCGAACAGATATTGACTGCCTGTGTCTGAATGCTGGCCCAAACGTCACAAGTCACAATGCTGAGAACTAACCCCCTTTCATGGCTCCCCCTCTTTACAGATGAGGAAACTGATGCTTGGTGAGACTTGCCTGAGTTTGGCCACTGATGGCACAGCCAAGGTCCAGCCCAGGCCCATCAGCTCCAGGCTAATAGTGAGTGCTGCTGAGGGCAAGCTTAGTGCCCATGAGGTGTGTGTGAGAGGGAGGCAGGACAGCTTTCTGGGAGGGGGACCTTAGTTTCCACAGCGTGAGGATACCAAGCAGGAGCAAGCTCCCCCTCACTGGAAGTGTGCAAACCGAGGGAAGTGACCTCAGCTGGAGCGGGGTCCCCTAGACAGATGGACCCTGAGACTCTCCCCAGGACGTCCTGAGGGTCCAGGCCCAAACGGAGCACCGCCCCACCCCCTGCCAGGATGAGCCCACTTGTCCCTCTGGTCTAGTGCTGCAGGGTCAGGGAATCCAGCAATCCAGGCATGGACTGCTGCTTAACACGGTGCCTCCCTCCCAGATGGCAGGGCCCTGTCTGTGTCCAGCCGCCTCCAGCCCCGTGACTGGTGTTTGCGATTTGTTTGAAGGTTGAAGGAAAGTTGCGGTACCATTTCCCAGAATGGAGTGCCTAGTCACCTGGTTTCGCGGCAGGTGACCTCAGGTGTCCTGTCACCCCCCAGTTTCTCCAATCCCCTCCCTCCCCACCCATAAATTCCACTCCAGAGATTTCCAGCTCTATTTGCATGGAGGTGTTTGTGTTACTTAACACCACATAAAAATAGGTCGTTGCCTTCTGGGCCCCCAGGCTGTGGCTCTCCCCACCACGCTGGGATTTTTTTTTGCAGGTTGTGGATTGGAACCTGCCAAGTTGTTCTTGGAAGAGAGTCAGCGGCAGTGTACAGGCAGCTGGGAGGGTGAGAGAGGGAGAGACCAGCTGAAGCACACCCCAAGGTCACTGGGCCCCTTCTCCCCTTGCGCTGGGGAGGGGCCCTGTGCTGGGTGGCTGGGCACAGCCAGGTGGGAAAGCTGTCCAGCTCCGTCTGGTTCAGCCCACCTTGTCCCTGGCTGCTCTGCCTTAGCCTGGGCCCAGAGCGAGGGCGGTGTCCAGTAAGAGCAGTCAGCTGTGTTTGCCTGAAACAGGGGAGGAGCTTTCAAAATACCTGTCTCCAGGCCACAAAGAGGAAGAATGGCCCTCTCTCCCCATTAGAGTGATTCATTGCTGTCACCGCTGAACCCCAGGGGGGCAGAATCAGCCAGCCTAAGCTCACCGGCTGTTGCTCTATGGAGCAGCTCTGGCCCCACGCCTCGTTGCACAATAGTGGAGCACAAACAGGTGATGCTGTGATCCGATGTCTTGAGGGACTTGGGGGCCAAGGGGCTGCTGGGGGGCCACACCATCCAGAGGAGGGGGGTTCCTGCCTCCCGGCAGGCTTGGAGGTGGCCTGGTGGAATAGGAGGCAAGACTGTTCCCCATGTGCCCTGTTCTCTCAGGCTGGGAGAGCCCCGGGTCTCTGTTCTGCAAAATGAAGGCCTTCCCAGCCCGGGTAACCTGGGCCCACAGGCAACCTGAGGAAAGCCAGTTAAGCCTCGGTTTCCTCAGCTGTACAATGGGTCCATTCATACCTTTCCTGTCATCTCACAGGGTCCAAGTGATAAATGGGCATAAGACACTTTGCTCCTACATGAAGATACTTTGTTACCAATGTCTGTATCACTCTTTCCTTCTGTCCTTTCTTTGAGAGCGGCCCCCCTTTCTGTCAGACTTGGTTCAAGTTCCGAGTGGCCCATCTACTCCGGAAGTTTCCTCCTCTGCTTGGCTGAGTTTTGGGGAGAAATAAAGCTGCTCAAAGAGGATTCGGATTTATGAGAACCAGGACGTGGATGGCATGGTTATTGAAGGAGGAGGACCAGGCCCCGTGTCACTGGGAACAGACTTCACGACCCCATCCTCACAGAGACCAGCAGAGACTCAGCGGTCTGAAACAGATGGGAAAGAGGGCTAAAAAGCCAGCATCACGTGGGCCACGGTGGTGGAATCCAGAAGGCCTCAGAGGAAAGGAGAAGTAGACATGGGTGGGCTTCCTGGAGGCCACCCTGGAGGTGGAGACTCAAGCCGCTTTTTTGGTGATAAGCAGGAGTATGATTGCCGGGTAGGACTGGGCAGCTGCAGAGAAGGTCTGTCCGAGCCCAGACCTGAGCTCCCAGGAAAGTCAAGAATTCACTGCTCTCCAGGCTGTGCCCTGGTAGGGGAGGGGTGGGTCACACGAGTTTGTCCTTGTCACAGCTGTAGAAATGAGGACGTCCCCTCCTGACCTTGACAGAGTACATCGCCCTCTGGCAGGCTCCCAGGACCTGTGTGCCCCAGGTCTCTGGCCGTCTTGAAGCCAACACTTAAGGAATGGACCCTCCTGGGTCCACCTCCTCCCAGCCCTGCCTTATAAGACCCCAGTGACCCTGGTGTCTGCAGCCACAGCAGGAGACAGTGTTCCTGGGGGTTCGGGACCTCTAGACAGCACAGATGGGGCCTGGGAACTGCCAAGAGGCCACGCACGCCAGGTACCCGAGGACCCACCTGAGCTGGCAATCAGGGCTTTCTAGGGGCTTCTGGCTTCTTTGCAGCTGTGAGTCAAGACCAGGAGGATTGGCCAGGGGCTCTGACATGACCCCTCACTCCTGGGGCTGGTGGGGCTGGAGAATCCCACCTTTGGAAGGCTGGTGGTGAGGGGATTTGTGGCACTGCTGGCTCAGAGCTCAGCTGATGGCCTGTCCCCTACCCCACCAAGCAGCAGTGACCACCCAGACGCTGCCCTGAGACTTAAGCCAGGAGACAAATGGAGGGTGGCTTGGGGGGACGGGAGTCTGCAGCATGCCGCCAGGGGACGGAGTATGCTGGGTGTGAGGTGCTGCAAGGGGGCTGCAGGAGCTGGAGCTACCTTTCCACATCTTTCAAAACCCTCTTGGTTTCTGGGTCTCAGGGCAACAGCTGAGCATGGCCCCTCTGTGGCTCGAACCTGAAGTCAGACAAAGGGAAGGGTGTGAGGATCTTGCCTGCCCTGTGGCCTTTTGGGATGTCAGGGGAGCGCTCTCAGCCCTGCGCCCCCTGCTTCAGCAAAGACCGGCCTGGCGGCCTGGAGGAGTAGGGCCTGACCCAGCAGGGAGCAGCCAGGCTCTCTGAATGTCCAGGAGGGACAGGGAGGTTCGGGGTGCTGAGTGGGGGTTGGCGGGCAGAAACCATGTCGGGAACCAGGGCAGGGAGGTGCTCTGGGAGCCTGCTTTAGGAGGACCCCGATGGGGCAGGGATGGCGGTGAGTGTCCTTGTTCCACGGAAGGCCGGGGTGGCTCTTGTCCTTCACTGAGGACAACGAAGTGGGCTTTATTAGGATGACATTTGCAATGGTGCGTTACCTCTGTTCCTTCAACAGCCCTGCAAGGTAGGTGCTGCTTTCTTCCTGACCTCCATTTTACACAGGAGAAGGAAAGCCAGAGTGTGACCATCTCCAGGGTTACCCACCCCAGGGGCAGAGCCAGGGTCAAAGGGATTCCAGTGGGGAGTGATATGGGTGCAGAGATACGGGGAGAGTCTTTGGGTTTCCCCAGGGGGTTGATGTACAATGGGCTGAAGAAGCCTCCCTGGAGGGAAATAGGGGGTCTCTGAGAGAGCACCCCTTGTCCCCAAGGTCAGACCGGACCTGGTGGCCTCAGTCAGTTGGAATGGGGCAGAGTGATGGCGTCAAGTCTGAGTGAGGTGAGGGGACAGGATGCCTTCCACCATTGCCGGGCTTTCCTCGAGAGGACAAGAGGTCACATTCGTGACAGTTGTCACAGGGCTCTGGATGAAGTGTTGGGCAGGGAACAGAGGGGCAAGGGGGTCCGGTAGCCCCCAACAGGACTCTGGAGGACCTGTTGGCAGGGTGAGGGGTGCTCACCACTCGCTGTCTCTGGCTGACCAGGTCTTGCTACCTGTCAGGGGCCGGTGATTTCATGGGGACAGGCTGCATCAGGCAAGTGCTTGCCTCTGCCCTGCCACTGGCAAGAGAATTGTGCCCTTGGGACTCACCCACTTCACGAGAATAGGGGTCCACATGTGCCATCCAGAGGGCCAGGAGTGAACACAGCACACGGAAATCCTTGTGTCTTGCAGCTGAAAATTTAGTTGGTGCTGAGAACTCAGGTAAGGAAAATATATAAGTAAACTCTTCAGAGGGAAAAGGGCTGAGAAGCGCTCTGATAACTGCAGGGAGCAGTGAAAACTTAACCACCAGGAGAGGGCTTCTGCATCAGTGTATGAAGAAAGGCCTGAGCCACGTTAGCCCGGGGAGCTCCCTGGGGGAAGAAGCGCAAAGGCCCCGAGGCAGGCCTATGCCCGAGGGCTGGGGGACACTAGGAGACCACTGGACTGAGGCAAGGTCACAGAGGCCATCAGGCCCGGCGAGCAAGGGCCTCAGAGGGCAGGGAAGAGCTCTGGCTTATCCCCTGAGCCCTCAGAGATGAACACTTTGAAAAGAGGGGAGCTGGGTGGGGTGACCTGGGAGGTCTTCACAGTTAGTGCATGACACTGGGCTCTGTCTGGGCTTGAGATGCCTAGATCTCCACTTTTCTGTGCCCCTCCACCGCCTGATATTTTTAGGCCAAGTAACCTCTGAAGTCCCATCCTGAGACCTCCAAGTCCCCAGCTTGGAGAAGTTCCTGTCAGCTGCCCTGGGCTGGCTTATGGTTTCCTCTTGGGACTGTCACATGGCTTTGTCTGAGCAGCTGGCCATGGCCACGGCATGCCCCTAGCAGGCTGTGGGGAAAGGAGCCAGAGGCCTGGCAACAGCAGGGTGCTGAGGGGGTGGGGGCTGGGGGGCAGGACAGACCCCAGGCCAGC